TCAAATTGAGCTCAGGTTATCACCCTCCATCAGATGGTCAATTTGAGGTTGTCAACCGCTCTTTGGAAACTTATTTACGTTGCTTTTCAGGAGCACATCCAAAATAATGGCCAAGATGGATTCCTTGGGCTGAATTTGGTTCAATACCACTTACCATGGTACTGCCAAGATGACCCCTTTCAGAGCTTTATATGAGCGAGATCCTCCCTCTTTGTTGCGGTTTACTGATGAAATTTCTGTTGTTGAAGAGGTCAACTAGCAGCTTATGGCTCGCAACAATATTTTAGATGAACTCAAAGATAATCTAATTCATGCTCAAGCTCAAATGAAAGTCTATGTTGATGCTAAGCGTCATGAAGTTGTGTTTTAGCCTGGTGATTTGGTTTATCTTCGTGTGCAACCTTTCAAGCTTCGCTCACTTGCTAAAAAGGTTAATCAGAAGTTAAGTCCTCATTACTATGGGCCATATGCCATATTGAATAAGATTGGTGAAGTTGCTTATCGCCTCGATTTACCCCCTTATTCATGGGTGTATCATGTATTTCATGTTTCTTGGCTAAAGTGCGCAGTTAAGGATTCTACTCCAGTTCAGTAGCTCCCTCCTTTTTTATCCGATGAACTTGAACTACAAGTGCAACCTGAAGGTATAGCGGACTGTCGTACGCTCTTGAATGGCTCCAAAGAGGTGTTGATTAAATGGAAGGACTTACCAGACTTCGAAAACACTTGGGAATCCTATGAGATCATTGATGCACAGTTTCCTCATTTTCACCTTGAGGACAAGGTGAAACTAGTTGGGGAGGGTATTGTTAGACCTGTTGTTACTAAGGTTTATAACCGCAGGAAGAAGGGTGAAAATAAGGCTTAAATGTAGCTGTTTTATTTATTAATTATTATGTATATGTAATTCTAGTAGTTACCTAGCAGTTTAAGTAGTTATTTGGTGATAAATTGTACCGGGAAAAGGAAAAAGACCGTCAGTTTTTGGGTAAGGATTTCTCAGGCAGATTTGGAGGTTAAGGTTCCTCGAAGTACCTTGGATGTTAGAAGTATTCTTTACTAATTATTTGTAAAACATATTCTAATTATTTGTAGAAGTAAATATTAGTTGAAGTATTGTTCCTACTTCTGTCTAGTGTTTGGAAGTTTACAGATTTATTGTTGGAGAGTTGTGGGTTCCTAACAAATATTCAAGATATACAGGGGCAGAAATGAACTACAAACAGAGTTGACATAGGATGGATCGACGTCTGGTGCCTCCCAGAAACAATTGTGAAGAAAACAGGTCAAGAAAATCTATCATAAACACCAGAAATTGAATAGTATGGAACTGAGTAAATCTTGGTGAATCTTACTTTGACTAACTAGTTAACCTGTCAAAAATGATAATGATAATGCATATGATGTTGAACATACCTACCAAATCCTTTTTACAGGTGTCTAGAATTCAGAATCTATTTGTTTGGTACGGTTGAAGTCATTTTCCTCACACTCGTCTTGAATTTGCAACTATAATTTACCAAATCAGATCCTATTTGTGCTTGCACTGCTATGGTCTAATTGGCGATGTGATTGACTACCTAATCTCCTTATGATGTACAAGTAGGAGTGACAAACGAGCGAGTCAAGTCGAATATGAGTCGATCAAAAAACGAGTTAAATAAAAATGGATAAGTTACTCGACTTGACTCACATTTTAAATGGGTAAAAACGAGTTACCCAATGGATAATATGGGTACCCATATTTACCCATATTATAATAGAAATCTTGTTAAAAGCTTTAAAAATTAAAATATTAAAAAATTAGAAAAATTAAAAAATTTATCACTTCACTCCACCCCCTACCAGCCCTCCCAACCCCCTATCCCAAAAAAAAGAATTACCACCCCACCCATACCGCCCCCCCCCCCACACACACACCCCATCCAAAAAAAATTAATTTTTTTAAAAAAAATTCATTAAAATTTTTAAATTTAAAAAAAAAAAAAATTTACCACCACATCCCCTACCAGCCCCCCTCCCTCCACGCCCCATCCAAAAAATATTAACAAAATTTTAAATTTTTTCCAATAATTTTTTTAAAATTTAAATATTTTACCGGACCATCCCCTACCACACCCCCACTCCCCTATCCCAAACAAAATGTAAAAAAAAGTTTCATTTTTTTTATAAAAAAAAAGACTTTCTTACTACCCCACCCTTTATCACTTTTTTTTTCGTTTGTGTGAATGCACATCTTTTACCCATTTTATCCATTTAACTACCCACTTTTAAATGAGTAATATGGGTATTATTCGTTTTTACCCATTTTTAAATGAGTTGAATACCCAACCCATTTAAAATGGGTAAATATGAGCGAATACCCATATTAATTACCCATTCTGCCACCCTTACGCAAGTAACAAACTTCTCAAATGTCATTATATCAGACAACTTTGAAAATGAATAGTCATTCAACCTAGTATTCTGACTTTCATAGGAAATGCATCAACATCTATAAGGTCTTCTAGATTTAGCAATTCGCTTTCAAAGGTGGAACTATCCAAAGCAATCAAGGCACTTCATGATCATGGATTCACATATTGCTAATTTTCATTATCTTCTACTTTCCTTGCATTTTTTTTATGACAAGGGAAATCCGCAGCCACACCCCACTCCTGTGCAATAGCTTGCAAATCACACAAGAGAGGTAACCCTACTTTCCATTGCATTCTTGTTGGGTATTAGCTAATTTTCTATTTTCAATTAAGGATAGACTTTAAAAAAAAAGTTATCACATTTCTCACTTGTGACAACTATGTAAAAGTGGTGGCACAACACGTAGTTTTAGTTCTTTATCAAAAAGATACTAAGCAGATCTCATCAAAATCATAAGCAGTTTCCAGTCATCAAGGCAAGCATACAGAAAGATGAAACAAGAAATTTATAGTGGTACCAATAACAAATGGATAATTATTATCATTACTATTCTATTATCTTATTCTTAATTTTTATTATTACATACAATTTTTCTTGCATCATTTATCATATAATTTGTTATTGCTATCAGTAATTTAAAAAGTATTTTAGCGCAAGTCTCGGAGCATGAAAATAGTAAAAATGCACAGGGTAATATGTGGGGTAAAAGAATTGCGAGACACAAGTCCCATCAGTTTGGACATACACTTAGGCATTGTGTGATCTTCTATTTGAGGCATAAGCTCGAAAAATCTTTCTTAATGAAAATTAAGATAGATAAACTTGACATCAAATCACCTTTAAACTTGACATCAAAATTTACTTTAACTACACAGATATTTTAATACCCCAGTTAACAACTTCTAGGTGCATTGTGTGATCTTCTATTTGAGGCATAAGCTTGAAAAATCTTTCTTAATGAAAATTAAGATAGATAAACAAGTCCTTAAATTAAGAGAAAATGCATCAAATCACCTTTAAACTTGACATCAAAATTTACTTTAACTACACATATATTTTAATACCCCAGTTAACTTCCAGGTGAATTTAGTCTCACCCTAACACTATAATATCAGTCTCACACTGGGAAATGCATTACATACGTGCTTCATCAATGCCACATTAAAGCGACATAAAAAATATATTTGAATTTATTTTTTAATTTTCCTTTTGTTATAATTGAAAGACATCTTTTCACACCACAAAATTATAAAATATCAAACAATGAATCACCCAAAATTCAAAAAACGTTGCATCAAATTTTTAGTTCTAGCGTAGGCACAAACCTTATTGTTGAAAGGTGTGGAACTTGAAGGTATAACTGAAGATGTTATTATTAAAAGGAATAAGCTTCAATTTTTTATTCTAATTGTTAAAAATAAATAGCTTCATTTTTAATTTTAACTGGCATTGTTGAAGAAAATTAGCTTCAATTAAGGGACAATAACAATAAATTTAATATTTTTATGTATCGTTAGTTTATATAAGAAAAATGAAAAATTAAAAGAACAAAAAAGAGATGAGGATGAAGGTGCACACAAATATGGGAGAAGGGGTGGTAGGAGAAGGAAAACTGACGTTGGGTTGGGGGTTTTGAAGAAGAATAAAAAGTGTATGAGTGTATTGGGGGAGGGGCGGATGAGGAAAGATAAGTTGGAGTGGGGTATTTTGAAGAAGGAAAAAAGGGGTGGCGGGGGTGGGGGAGAAGGGGGGGGGGGGGGGAGGTTCAAAGAGGAAACTTCGATCCCCCTCCCCTTTTTGCTTTCTTCAAAATAACCCACCCAATTTCTCCCCATCTTCGACCTCTCCCAGCCCCTCCCCAACACACCCACACACTTTTTCTCCTTCTTCAAAGTCCCCACCGCAATGTTGTTTTTCTTTCTCCTACCACCCCTCCTTTTCTGCACCATCATGTTCATCTCTTTTTTTTCTTTAATTTTTTTTATATATAACTGAAAATATATTGAAATTATTGAATTTTATCATTATTGTCCTCAAATTGAAGTTATTTCCTCCAGCAATGGCAGTAAATATTAAAATCAAAGCTAATTTTTTTCAACAATGACAATCAAAAATTGGAAGTAATTTCTAATAACGACATCTTCAATTATATCCTCAAGCTCCACACATTTCATCAACAAGCTTTGTGCCTACAGTAAAACTAAAAAATTATTTTAATACAAATTTCTTGAATTTTGAGTGATTCGTTATTTGATGTTTTATACTTGTGGTGCAAAAATATGTCTTTCAATAATACACAAAAAAATTAAATATTGTTGTAAATGGATTAGTGAATGTCAATTATACCCTTTTTATGTCTATAAAAGGCATTATAACCTATATAAAAAAACACACAAAAATAAGGAAGACAAAAGTTTCCTATTTTATCTCTCTACTACATTCTTCTCTTCTTGGTTGTTAATAGTTTAATTTTAGTACTTAGTCTTTATTTTATAACACGTTATCAGCACGAGACTCTACCATCTCAAAGTTTGGAGACTAAATTTGAAGGCTACGGTATTATTATTTTTCTTCTTTTTATTATGGCTAATCTTACCAAACTTGAGTTCGTTGCCCTTCATAGTTCGGGCAAGAACTACCTTTCATGGGTACTGGATGCTGAAATTCATTTGGATGCAATAGGTCTTGGAGACACCATTAAAATTGAAAATAAAGCATCAAAACAAGACTGTGCTAAAGCAATGATATTCTTACGTCATCATATGGACAAAATTTTGAAAATTGAATATCTCACAGTCAATGATCCACTTGTTCTATGGAATAATCTAAAAGAAAGATATGACAATTTGAAGATGGTCATTCATCCAAATGCATGGATGCATTTAAGGCTACAAGTCTTTAAGTCTGTTCATGAGTACAATTCTGTCATGTTCAGAATTACTACTCAATTGAAACTATGTGGAGATACGGTTAGTGATGTTGATATGATGAAAAAAAACGTTCTCCACATTTCATGCCTCGAATGTGCTTTTACAGCAACAATATCGAGAAAAGGGTTTCAAGAAGTATTCTGAACTGATTTCTCATCTTCTCGTGGCTGAACAAAATAATGATTTGTTGATGAAAAATCACGAGAATCGTCCCACCGGATCTACACCATTTCCTGAAGTGAATGAGGTGTACGCCCACCACGTTAGGAGTGGAAGAGGTCGCGGACGTGGACGTGGTCATGGTCGTAATTATGACCAAGAGCGAAATCCTTTTTCCGGTGTTAATCATTCACCAAAGAAAAATCACAAAGGGAAAAGGAAAAGATGAGAAACGTGAAACAGTTAAAAACAAACAGTTTTCGATGTGGTGGAAGAGGTCATCATGCACGTGATTGTTGTACTCCTAAACACGTGATTGAGCTTTACCAAGCATCACTAAAAATGAAGGATAAAAATCCTGAAGCTAATTTTATCACTGATCATGTTGACATCACACACATTGATGTAGCAGATTTCTTCACACACCTAAAGGAAAAATAGATCACTTGATTGGTGACGGTTCTGTGGATATGGAAGAATAATCATGGTTGATATTTTCTAATAATAATATTATTAATATTTGTTGTTTTGTACTGGTCATAATGTGGAAAATAAATAATTAAAGTACTCATGTTTATCCATGTATATTAATTGAGTTCCTTTTAAAACATCTATGGAAATGTGAGTTGGAATTTTATAATGATTTGATGATGAATTGAAATATATTAAGATACTATTTTCTTCTTATCATTTTGTGACTATAAAAGGAAACATATAGTGTTATATTTAAAGTGAAAGTAAATGCACTAGCTAAGCACTATCTAAATAAAGTAAGTGAAAAACCAACTTTTTCTTTTGTCATGTCTTTCAAGAAATTATACAATTATGTTAATACTTATTTTAGACATAATAAACTAAACTAAAGTTTAGTGTTAAAGGTTTGGGTGATAAAGATCTTGTGCATTATTAGTACATGATCATTATAATGATTCAAATGTCATTTTAACACCTTCATTATTTCTTATATTTTATAAATTATTTAATAAAAGATAATTAATTATTTAATATAAATTTATTTCATTACTTTTGAAGATATGGATAATTCTCCAAGCAAATTATCAAATTATGAAGACATTTGTTTGATTGATTCTGGTACAACACACACGATATTCAAAAATGAGAAATATTTTTCTCATTTAAATATGGGCAATATGAATGTTACTACGATATCTGGTAGTGCTAATTTGATCAAGGGCTCCAGAAGAGCCATTATAATTTTGCCCAAGGGAACTAAACTCATAATAAATAATGCCATGTTTTCTCCCCAGTCTCGGAGAAACTTATTGAGTTTCAAAGATATTCGTGAAAATGATTATTATATCAAGACAATTGATGAAATGAATCTTGAATATCTTGGTATAACCAAAAATGTCTTCGGGTAGACATGTTGTAGAAAAATTCACAGCCTTATCTTCTGGATTGTATTGGACAAAAATTAGTGCAATTGAGGCACATTATATAGTAAATCGGGGGTTTACTAATTCCAATACCTTCGTACTTTGGAATGGTCGTCTAGGACATCTTGGGTCTATAATGATAAGACGAATTATAGAAAATTCAAATGGGCATCCATTAAAGAATTTGAAAAATCTTTTAAATGATAAATTTTCTTGTAATGCATGTTATCAAGGCAAGTTAATTGTGAGACCATCACCAACAAAGGTAAAAATTGAGTCTACTGCGTTCTTGGAACATATACATGGGGACATTTGTGGACCTATTCACCCACCAAGTGAGCCATTTAGATATTTTATGGTCCTGATAGATGTTTCTTCTAAATGTCTCATGTGTGCCTATTGTCATCTCGCAATTTGTCATTTACAAAATTGTTGGCACAAATAATACGATTACGGGCACAATTTCCTGATAATCAGATTAAGTTTATTCACTTTGATAACGCTACAGAGTTTTCATCCCAGACATTTAATGATTATTGTCTATATATTGGGATAAGAGTTGAACATCATGTAGCTCATGTTCACACTCAAAATGGTCTGGCTAAGTCATTAATTAAACGACTGCAGTTGATAGCAAGACCATTACTTATGAAAACTAAGTTGCCCACTTCTGTTTGGGGTCATGCAATTTTGCATGTTGCAACACTTATTCGTCTCAGACCGACAAATTATCATAAGTTTTCCCCATTGCAATTGGTTTTAGGTCAACAACCCAATATATCTCATCTAAGAATTTTTGGATGCGCTATATATGTGCCGGTAGCACCACCATATCACACTAAAATGGGCCCCCAAAGAAGGTTAGGAATATATATTGGGTTTGAATCATCCTCTATTATTCACTACATTGAACCACTAATTGGAGATATGCTCACCGCCAGATTCGCAGATTGTCCATTTGATGAGACACTTTTCCCAAAAATTAGGGGGAGAAAATAGTGAAATAAAAGGAGAAATTTTGTGGAAAAATCCATCATTGTCTCATCTTGATCCTCGTACTTCCATTTGTGAGCAAGAAGTACAAAAGATCATTCATTTGCAAAAAATTGCAAATCAAATGCCAGACACATTTACAAATTTGAAAAGGATTACTAAATCACATATTCCTGCAAAGAATGTCCCAATTCGAATTGATGTCCCTGTAGGGCCATCTATTAGTGTCATAGCTAATGAGTCAAAAGCATGCCTGAAGCATGGTAGACCATTAGGTTCAAAGGATCAAGATCCTAGAAAAAGAAAATTAAAAGGTCAAAATGACACTATGAAAAAACTTGATATAGAAAGTCAAGATGTGAGTAATTTTGGTATCCTTGAAGGGATCAATGAGCTTGAGACTCAAGAAAATAATGAACTATCCATAAAATCAAGTGATGATGAAACAAATCTAAATCGCTCAGAAATAGCGGTGGATTATGTTTTTGCATACAATGTTGCATAAAAAATTATGTAAAATTGTGCGGATCTTGAGCCTCAATATGTTGTAGAATGTCGACAAATAAATGATTGGCCAAAATGGCAAGAAGCAATTCAATCAGAATTGAATTCACTTGTCAAGCGCGAAGTTTTTGGGCCTATAGTACAAACACCTAATGGTGTTAAACCTGTTGGCTATAAATGGGTTTTTATGAGGAAAAGGAATGAGAAAAATGAAATACAAAGGTACAAAGCACGTCTTGTTGCACAAGGATTTTCTCAAAGGACTGGCGTCAATTATGAAGAGATATACTCACCTGTTATGGATGCAATAACATTGCGTTATCTCATTAGTTTCACGATCCATGAGAGGCTTGAAATGCATTTTATGGATGTGGTTACAACCTATCTTTATGGATCACTCGATAATGAGCTATACATGAAAATTCCTGAAGGATTCAAAATGCCCAAAGCATACCGTTCAAAGTCTCAGGAAATGTACTCAATTAGATTGCAAAGATCATTGTATAGTTTGAAGCAATCTGGACGCATGTGGTATAACCATCTTAGTGAGTATTTATCTAAGGAAGGTTATATAAATGATGTGATTTGCCCCTGTGTGTTTTTAAAGAAGAAAATGTCAAAGTTTGTTGTACTTGTTGTGTATGTTGATGACATAAACCTTATTGGAACTCCAATGGAACTTCATAGGGCAATTGATTATTTGAAGAACGAATTTGAGATGAAAGATCTCGGAAAGATAAAATTATGTCTTGGTTTGCAAATAGAGCATTTGACAAACGGTATCTTTGTTCATCAATATGCTACACAGAAAAGGTGTTGAAAAGATTTTATATGGATGAAGCACATCCATTAAGTACTCCTATGGTTGTTCGATCACATGATGTGAATAGAGATCCATTTCGACCTCAAGAAAAGAATGAGGAAATTATTGGTCCTGAAGTACCAAATCTTAGTGCAATTGTTGCACTAATGTATCTTGCTAACACTACAAGGCCTGATATAACCTTTTCGATTAATTTGTTAGCAATATATAGTTCTGCTCCTACTAGGAGACATTGGAATGGGATCAAACACATATTGCGGTATATAAAGGGGACTATCGATATGGGCTTATTCTATTCTAACAATTGCAGTCTAGACCTTGTTGGTTATACTAATGCAGGATATTTATTTGACCCACATAAAGCTAGATCTCAAACAGGTTACGTATTCACATATGGGGGTACTGCCATATCTTGGAGATATACGAAACAATCTATTGTGGCCACTTCATCAAATCATGTTGAGATTGTAACACCCCTAAATATTAACCAAGAGTCGCATGTCGATTTACCATTGATTAATTAATACAATATGTTTTACTCTCATTTTGGGAACTTGATATGTTGTGATAATTGCTAATTTGCTTAACATAAATTGTGGTCGTAATTTAAGGTATTGTATTGGGGTATTTTCATACTATTCTAATTAGAATTATGTATAACTTTAAAAGGAGGTGAAGGATATATATATATATATATATATATAGCTGTATATGTATGCTTTTTGGGCAGCACCTTTGAAGGACAGCTGCCCAAGTGATAAGCATCACTTGTTTGACTATATATTTTCACACCTCCTTTAGGAAATTTGTTTTCCTCAAGTCTTAGAACCTTAGAAACATATCTAAACAGATTGTTCTTCAAAATCACAAGAGAAAAACTTGGCCCTTTTGGCTGGAATTTGAGACACACACTTCTTTTTGGTAAGTGACAAAATATGTTTCTGAGATGGGTAGTGTTTGGTATTTTATGCGTCTTGCTCTAGAACTTAGTTTACAGTGAATAAATATGATTTGGAAAGCTAATTTGTAGACCTACAACTCTTATGTTCATGTAAAACTCTTATTTAGTTGTTATGGATTCGAAATATGGGACATAACATAGGACAAGTTTTGTCCAAATTTTGAAATTACAAATCCTGTATGAACAACTGTTAATGGTTTGAATATATCTTGTTGTACAAAATATATTTTGCGGTGATTCTTGTTTGTTTGCAACCCTAAGATATGTATCTACATTTTTCATGAAGGTTATAAAGTCTAGTTTTGTCGTTTTCCTTTTAAATCTAAGTTGCGACATGAGGTACTAGGCTGGCCAGAATCACTGTTTTGGGAGCATAGTCGTATTTGTATAGGCTAAGCTTACTTGTAATGATAATTCTGTTTTACATCAACATTATTGAGCTGCTAGGAATTAAAGAAGTTATATAATTATATTTTTAAAGTTGTATATACTCGTGAACAAGTTAAGGACCTTGAAACGTTGGTTGGTCTACGGTCTGAACTCGCGAAGTT